TATAAAATATAGTTTAATATATCTTATAAGTAATAAGACCTTTATTATAATTTATATCGCATAAGCCTACCAACCCAAGCCACTTTAGTAGCTATCGGTCAAATAAAACTTAGGTAGATGAGTTACAAATAATATTCATCAAATTTTTTTAATCTAATTTATGTCAAAATAGTTTAATAATAAAATAATAACCATAATAATTATTGAATATTAATTAGTAAAAGAAAAAACTCATATGATAACTGTAATCATGATGAAATATAAATCATGCTTTTGTTGAATCTCGATTTTGATGATGAAATTAATTAATAAAGTTATTATCTAATGTTCGTTTGAGTGACGTAGGGCTAACCTCGATCAAGGAAAGACAATTCAATTAAAAGCAGGAAGAATCAGATGTTGGGCCGAAGTAGAACATGTCAGAAAATTGGACGTTGGACCGGAGGAATGGTCGACATGTCGGAAGGACTTCGTGTCATGAGTTCGGACATCAGTCCGAAGGATCGGATAATGCACTAAAGAGATTGGAAGTTGCAAGAGGTCAACATGCCGATTGGATAATACACCAAAGGAGAGAACGATGCGTCGAAAGGTCGGACGAAGGTCGGATAAACCAATGACATATCAGACAAAGGATTCATGTTTTATAATCATTTTTCTATATCGAAGTAGTTTAGAGGGCTAATTGAGTTAGTTTTTGGTATAATCATGCTAACTCAATTAGAGGCCAATTTGGCTTAAATTAGGACTGATTTGGGCTCGTTGGGAGGCTCATTTAGTGACCCAAAAGTTGGGTCTGGCTGTGGAACCGCCTATGAGCTGGAAAAGTCAAAAGCCTAGTCTCTAAGGTTGTCAAGTGATGGTACCGCTAGACTAGACAGTGGTACCGCCTACTGTCAGGTGATGGTACCACCTAGTGTCAGACTGACAAGCAATGGTACCGCCCAATGCTGGCAATGGTACCGCTAGTACCTTGAAAACCCAAGTATTTAAATTTTGACTCTAATTTTTGAAATCATTTGGGGTCTATAAATATCCCACAAATTCCTGCATGGTAAATAAAAAAAAGATTAGAAAGGGGGAAAGAATCCTTGTGAAAAAAAATTATGTAATCTCTCTTTAATTAGTGAGTCTCTTCCTCCTAAAGTTAAAAGTTTTATAAAAGAGGTGTGAGGTCTAAAATAGAGGTGTAAAGATTTTCTCCTGAGCTTATCAAAAGGAGAAATAGTTGTAAGAGGATAGTTGATTTTCGTCCATTAAAAGAAGATCGTTAGTGAATGTTGGTGGCCTCAACAGAAGAGGAATTGGGAGTGAACATAGGTCGCAATGACTGAACTACTATGAACTCAGTTTGCATTTCTATTCTGCTCTTCATTGCTATTACTTTCTGAGTTAATTACTTAGTTTACTTACTCTAAGTCAAGCACACTTTCGTTATTAATTTTCATCAAATAAAATGAACCTAAAAAGAAGAGGTTGTCAAAAGAAAAAGAAAGCGCTCAATGTGACTTGGGACGAATCGAATGAATCTGAAGATGATGAACAAATAAATAAAGATGAGTTGACAAACTTATTATAAATTATTAAATGCTTTTCATGATTTATATTATAAAATATTTAAAAAGGTTCATGCTTTTCTCTCTAGTAAATTTGAAAAATTAAAAAATAAGCATGATAATTGCATCTTAACACCTTGCACTAAATATGAAGAATTAGACTTAGTTAAGAATGAAAATGTACTACTAAAACAAATGTTAAAAAGTTTTAAAATTAGTAGTAAATCATTAAACATGATTCTTGCCAATAAGGGTCATATTCGTAGAAATGAAGAAATCAGCTTTGAAAGTAACTATACTCAACAAAAGCCAACTACTTTTGTTAAAGGATCCACATTGCATATACTCCTAAGGTTAAGTGTAATTTTTATGGTACATATGGTCATTTTACTTATAAATAATTATTTAAGAAGTATGACTCCCATAAATTGATTTGAGTTCCTAAAGGAATCATGAATAACTTAATGCAAAAAATTAAGATAGATAGATCCAACTATAAGGGACTCAAATCTAAATGGGTACCTAGAACAAACTCATCCTTCTTATAAACATCTCTAAAATCGAGAACTATGAGTAAAAGATGTTATTTTGATTGTGGATACTCATGACTTATGACAAGAGATCCAACATACTTTTCAAAGCTCACTAGCCGAAATAATAAATAAAAAATCATTGGCATAGGAAATATTTATAACAAATTTAATCTTTTGATTAAAGATGTTTTGTTATTTAACCTATTACACTATTGATCTTAACGATTTCTTTTGTGATAAAACTTGATTTTTTTTTTAAATGATGATTCATGGATTTGACATAAAAGAATTTAGCATGCTTGTATGAAATCAATCGTGTAAATTAAAATAAAAAAATAAAAGAAAAATATATTTTTCTTGAAAATTTCTCAATCTCTATCTAGTTTTCAAAAAGAGATTGATGAATCTATTTGTATCGTTTTTTTTATAAATCTCTTAAACTATGAAAATGATTTTTATGATTTGATGATTTGAATTTGATTGAGAATTTTCCAACTTAATCATGAACCTTCTCTTGATTTCTTAACTTAAGATATCTTTTATGGGAATTAAGATTTTTTTTATCTTCTATGATTTTTTTTTAACATTTACTAAAGAGGAGACTTATGCAAACAAACCATGATCTTGATATTTATAACGTGAGATTTATTTTATGAGAATTAAGATCTTTTCTTTGTTCTCCTTTTTTTTATAAATCATGGTATCTCTTAATTTTTTGGAATTATAACTTGTGATTTTTTTATAAATCAAGATCGTTTACTGTGATTATTTCGTTTCGCTATTGGACTTAACCAAATAAACCATGATATGTCACTTAACTTACTTGATGTTTACAACTTGAGTTTTATTATGTACAATTCCTTTATGTTTATGATTATATATCTTTTGTCATGATTTAAAAATTGATGTAAAGGAAAAAGAATTATAACATTATATTCTTCTCTTCTTTTTTACAATAACAAAAGGTGAGAAAGTATTGCTAGCTTGCACATCGTAAAGAAAAGTAAAATTACTAGACTTGCATATCTAAGAGAAGCAAAGAATTACTAGCTTATATATCTCAACATAAAAGCAAAAATTGCTAGTTTGCACGTCTCAAAAGAAGCAAAATTGCTAAACTTACCCATCTCTAAAACTTGCTAGTTTACATATTCTAAAGTGATATAAAACTTACATGTTTCAAAGAACTTGATAGTTACACTTTTTGCCTTTTTATTGATGAGAAAAGGGGAGAAATGATGATGATTTGAATCATGCATGGTATGATGTATCTTGATATGTTTTGAAATTATGATGAGTTGAAATTATGCATGCAATACTCAAGTACATGCATTGATGTGAAAGTCATGGTTTCAAAGGTTATCGTTCTTTTTGAATGAAAGTTTGTTTTCTTTTAATATGATATATTGATAGGAAGAGTTTGATTTAAACTCCATCGTCAATTAGTTGTTATCATCAAACAGGGGAGATTGTTGAATTTTAGATTTTGATGATGAAATTAATTGATGAAGTTATGATATAATATGTATTTGAGTGACACAGAACTAACCTCGATCAAGGAAAGATAATTCGATTAAAAGTAAGAAGAATCAGACGTTGGGCCAGAGTAGAACATTTCAGAAGATTGGACGTCGGGCTGGAGGAATGGTCGACGTGTCAAAAGGACTTCGTACCATGAGTTCGGGCATTAGGCCGAAGGATCGAACATCGGCTGTCGGAGTACCACCCGCATCCGCTGTTGTTGCTGTGGTGCGTATGCTGCCCGGTGTAGCCGCTTGTTGAAACATGTTTGCTATAGCGATTGCATGCAATGCTGCTGCTGTACTCGATGCGGCTACTATCGGCAACGGTGCTGCACAGCCACTGTCGTTGCCTTGCGATCACGAAAGACCACTATACAAAGAATCTCACATCGCCTGCAAACAGGTGACACGACAAACCAGGTAGGAAGATAGATTGAGAATATACATAGATCATTCAAGTATCGTAAATTAAAAAATAACGTATCTAAGGTATTTAATTACAAGAAACTAGACTTTGATATCAATTATAAGTATAAATCTATAATATGCTATATGTAACGCGAAAAAACTTTCATACTATGATTGAAATCAAATAACAATAAATCAGATTTATGATGTGTACCTTTCGATATCATCTGGAAAGAACGTTATCAAATCTGCAAGGGCATCATCTTCAGATTCGAAGAATCATTGTCGATTTGCAATGAGAACTAGACTCTTCTTCTCCTCTCTTCCTATTTTTTCATAGGACCACTTAGATTAATGAATTAGAGATAGGAGTGATGAGAGAGAAATCGTAATCTCTCATTGTTGCATACCCACTGTGTAATCACATTTTGTGTCCTATATTTTATACATCGTTCCGTTCTTAGAGATCCTGTATATATATAGGCAAGAGCAGGAGGTCTAGGATAAGTAAGTAGAAGAATTCCTCACATCAAAGATATCTCCTAAGGAATTATAGTTGAGACTTTGTCAACCTCTTTAGAGGGTGGGCTAGGTTGGCGGAAGGGCTCAGGTTCGACTCTATCGAACAGCCATGGCGTGTGCGACCCCATACTTCTCGAAAAGCATGTTAGGACGTTAGATGATTTCTGCACAGCAAGGTGGTAATGTCGATATGGGGATGCCAATGCTAAGGAAAGGAAAGGAAAGGGCATTCGGAGTCCGAGGTATCCACTGAGGTGTCTACACATCCCTATTTGATTGACGCTGCAAATTCTTCCCCTTCTTAAATCTAAAACCAAACGATGAGATATTACGTGAGTAAAGTACCATCAAAATTCTCTTTTTACTCTTTCATAAATACAGAACTTAAAATACCAAGAGAAATTAGTTGATTCATGGTGGTCCCAACCAACATTCACGTAATGTTTTTTCGCAAGAACAATATAATCATGGCCTTGACATTTAAGAATATCAGCTTCATACTTAGAAGTTCATAAATGTCAATTGTAGCGGTAACAATCGTTTCCTATTCATGATTATATAGAATATGTGGTTTTGGTTATTAACAATTTAACCATCGAAGAATTGAAAAAAAAAAAAAAAGTGTACAATTTAAGTGAAAAAAAAAATTCGAACAGTGAAGCATTTCTGCACCGGCAATCTATCTAATCTATCTATCTATCTATCTATCTATCTGTCAGTAGATGCCAGTTTTGAGCTAAAGAACCGTTTTGTTCTCATCCCAAATCCAAGCTTTCTGGAGAAGATGCTCCATGCACTCTTTGACCTCTCTAGCTTCTGAATCTCTTCTCTTATGCTTGAGCATTCCTTCTCGAGATCAGAAACCCTGGATCTCATCTCTTCGAAGCTCAGACTCTGTACATCTTCTTGAGTGATCTCCGCTTGGTTAAGCCCACTACTGCTCTTAGGTAGCATGCGAGCATGAGAGTTTTCCACATTGTCAGAGGAAAAAAACCAGCCGGTGATGGTGGTTCTCAGACGAAGTTGCTCGAAGAAGAGCACCTGAACGATTACTCGAAGTGGTAGCCTCTCGTTCTGTGCAGCGTGTGTGCAAGCCTCCAGTGAGAGCTTCTGGCAGTTCATAAGCCGACAAAGCTGCTCCCGCTCGGAGTCTGTGAGCCATGGGTGAGACTGAAATGGACCAAGTGTAAGATTATGAACATGAAACAAATCAAATGTAATATTAGCAATAATGAGAAATATTGGAAGTTCAACGGGTGACAGGTAATCAACTATATTTGTAACAGGGAAAAATCAAAATTGTACTGATCTAACGATCAGGATATCAAGCACTTACAGTAAACTTACATGACGAGCATTAAACCATAAACATGGAGGCTACAAGTTGATAATCAAAATCTGATTGTTTTTTTTTTATGAAAAGAATACTGATAGAACATATTAGCATCAGCTTAACCTGTTGTTTATTCCTCTAGTGACTGGGAGAGGATATTATATTGCATAGTTTTCCTTTTTTTATTTCTCCTTTACTTTGGAGAGATAGCAGATTTGATATAAATTGCAATGACTTTAATATATCTAGAACAAATTGTTACTAACGGGATTGAGAGAAACCAGAGTTGCAAGCCGTAGCAAGATTAGATCAGATTAGATTAGATGTTAGGATAGTCTGATTGTTAGAGAAATCCAAGATGACCAATTTCTACCATCCATACATGTTTTCCTAGCACAATCAGTTATATTTTTATGTACAAATAATTTCTATGATCACCCTAGCTATCCATATGCAGATGCGGTTTATTTTGCTTTCAAACAGTTTCAGATAGATAATCTGAGGTTCCTAGGAAAAGTTACTGCCTAAGACATTTCCAACAAAACATAAAAAATATACACTTATCATATGCCACATAGTAGGAGTTATGGAAGGTAACCTCTTGTTTGATGAAAGGATCATTCAAAGGACAAGAACTTGAAATCAAATGTGACGGGTAAAATTCTGCCACAGAGTCCATGATTAATTTTTTCAAAGACACAACAACCACAGGTGAATAATCTACATATGCTACAAACCAAAAATTTAAGTAGCTTTTTTGTGCAGATGTGCATGTCGATGCAAAACTGAATCTTCAGCAAGCGCAACTGGTAGAGAGTACTGCAAAATAATGTAAAATTAAATATTACCTTCAAATATATATCAATAGCATGATAGATTCCATCAGTTGATTGTCTGGCATAGTCAGGGATGAGTGCTGCCAAAGACTGGAACTTAGGGAGCTTCAAGTTAACATCAGAAGCTACTTCTGCAAGGTACCCATCCATGAGTTTTGCTACCATGGTCACTGGTGTCAGTGCAACAGCGTTAGCCATCAACTCCCCCTCATCCACAATGCCAGGTGATGTTATATCTTCTGGTTGATTAAAAGAAACAAAGCGATCAAGGATTCGTTGCATGCAGTCTATGTCATATAGAGTTTCAATTGAGTAGCCCAAATTTGGTATTAGGATATCCTCCAGTTCAGCATCCTCTAGTTGCTCTGCCACCCTCCTTTCTAAATTTTCCCTGCAGGAAGGACTGGCATGTATGATCATGGCCATTTGGAGCAAACCGAGCAGAAACTTTGATGAAGCGACACCCCTTTCCATGGGCAGAAGTTCTACTATCTCTTCAAGTAGAACCCTCTGATCACTTTCTGATTGGATTGCAGTGGAGTTGGTACAGGTAAAGCAATCAGCACTGTCTTGGAAGCCTGACTGCCTACTCAACCCTGGCAGACTCATCTTTGCATAGTGCATCAGAGATCCAGCAATGTTGTCTGGCTTCATGCCGTTTGACTTCATAGCCAGTATTAGCCTTCTATAGGTCGGCAGGTCAAGGAAAGCAACATCTTTATACCACCAATCAGCACCTGGGGATCTAGACTTTCCACCTGGACCAATTCCATTCCACAGAATGGTGCCTCCAAGGTTCTTTGTGTTGGCTTGTCCAATCATGGGCCAACCAAACAGGGTTGGATCAACAGATGCTTTGGCTGCCAGTGAATTGATACATCTTGTAACAATATGGAGCTCTTCTGCATAAGGAAGAATGTCCTTGCATGTTTGAAGAGCCTTCATCGAGTCATTCCAGTCTCCCAGAACTTCTTCGAGAAAATTTTCAGTTTGCATGATAAGATTTCCTTCTCCATGATCTTCGGTCATCTGGAGGTACTCAGAAGCACAACGGATAGCAACCACATTCAGAGCATTCAGCTCTATCTTCACATCATAACAGAACTTTGCAACCAGCTCAAAAGCCTTGGCACCGCCAGGGATGTCATGAAGCTCAAGAATGCAATCCTTTCCATCATTGTTGTGGAATTCACTAATCATTTTTTGCAGTATCCCACTCCTAGTAATCAATGGGAACTGAAAAACAATATGATAAACATCAGACTTGTTGATTTCAAATTTGAGGTGTTAGTGAAAGTTCAGTGCAAAAATTAAGCAAAATAAATGTCTTTGCAAAACTACCCTCAAGCCACCTCAGCCTCTCCAGCTCATATCATCTTCACTGCCTCTCTTTGTCTCTCCCTCATCTCTCTAACATTTCTTCACTTCGAACTATTTGTTTCTTTCTACCTGTCACTTCTTACTGTCCATCATAATCGCAGTTTTTTGACCAAGAATACATCTTGTTTAGAGAGCAAAGGTTTTCTCATGTAGCAATGGTACAAATAAATAAAACACCTAAGAACCTTGTGGACATACCATATCTCACTCAAATACTTCAATAATAACTCAAAGTTGCATTGCTAGATGATCAGTGATCCTTTACGGCCAAATGAATGATCACACAACAACCGTGAAGGTGTCCATCATAATCACAGTTGAAGCCTCATTCAAGACAGCCAAATAAGGGCCTTCAACTCCCTATCCTCTTTCCCTCCCCCTTCCAGTTCTTTCTCCCTATCTTGCCTTTTCTCTACTCTGCCTTTATTTTTTCTCTCTCCCTCCTACTTACATTGTGTGGTCACAATAGCAGCTGTCATTAAAAATCTTTATATCTAGAAGATTCATAAAATAAAATAATCATTGATAAGTTATGCTGAACTCAAATTGTGAGGATCGATATGCCAAGCTTCTTGTTGAGTAGCATGTATGTGGAGTTGACAAACAATGCTGTCATAGCATAACATTCACCTCAAACTAGATTCAGTGATGGGTAATGAACGAATATTGAAAACTTACAAGAAAATACAGAGAAAAACTGTGCTTGCAGATTTATCACTTCAAGTCAGGGTTCTCTAGGCAAATATTGACAAGTGCCACATAAGTTGACATTTCACTGCTGAATATTTGCCTCTAAAATTTCAAAACAAGATAATTCAGTAAATACAATTTAGTAGTGGTGACAGTATATCAAATAGGAACTTCAAAAAGTTGGCTAATTCTGAAAACAGCAATGGTACTTGTTGACAGGAGTGAACTTAACAGCAAGTTTTATCATGAAGGAAAAGAAAACTGTTCGAGGAGAAACACAGCATAAATCAAAGCTGTTTTAATCTTTCAAATTTCAATTTGTTGTTGATATCATCTGGAAAGCAACAATTTGTGAGACAGTGATATAAGGATATCTCACAGGAGTGTGAAACCTCATTGAATATTGCAGTTCAAACTCAAAATCCTTGAGAGAAGATGGAAACCATGGTAGTAGGTGAATTACTCATAGATCACTTATCTGTGATCAGAGAACCAAACTTGAAAGGTCATCAAAACTAATATACAAGCAATTAGATGTACTTCTCATAGTTTACAATTACCTCTCAAGGGTAAGGCTGAATAAATTGACCCTAGTACCAAGCAGCATGTATCAGTCCGATGGTGAACTGGGTTGCACACTGCCTCGAAGTGGTCCGCTGGTGGGACAGGGTTGTCCTCCTTTTTGACACAAAAGATGCCTCCTATCCCCTTTTTTACTCACAAGAGGTCTCTTGGGGTCTCCTTTGATCTGTAAATTAGGCAAATCCGAAGCTTAATCTTTACACAGTGACAGCTTGGTTCACCTACTTAAGGGCTTGATCTAGAAGAACGTAGCCTTAATCCTTGTGGATTGCAGCATGATCCGCTGCCATTTCACCTTGATCCTTGCATATGGAGGCTTGATCCACAAGGATCAAGCTTTGGATTTTGCAAATTTAGTTTAGATATGTTCTGATTCAGCCCATATCCAAATGAATCAAGGCCAGATCTATATGGATTAGGCTAGATCCCTTTGAATCTAGGCTAGATCCATTGATTTGGGTGTAGCTTAGATCTTAATGGATCTAGCCAAAATTTGTTTTGATAGCTTACATCTTAACGGATCTAATCTGGATCTTTGTGGATCTATTGTAGATCCATCCTAGATTTTTGTGGATCAAACCTTATTTGTCACAAATTAGTTCTTTAACTGTTATAGATATCTGATAAGTCAACATTTGGTCGTCATTAGTGCGACTCCATAGGCTCGCGAGGAATTGTCCGCTTTAAGCGTGTCCATATAGTTTTGCCCTTTCGAGGGTCATGAGTCCCAAAAGGTGCCTCTAAGGGTAAGGGTGACCCGATGGACTTATAAACTCTTGGTTCCTCTACTCTGCAACTAATGTGAGACTAAATATCCTTATCAGTACTCCCCCGTAGAGGAGCTAAGAGCTCATGCCCTCCTTCTAGCACTAATCCAATAAGTCAACATTTGGTCGTCATTGGTGCGACCCCGTAGGCTCACGAGGAATCGTCCGCTTTAGGCGTGCCTATATGGTTTTGCCCTTTCGGGGCTCGTGAGCCTCAAAAGGCACCTCTGAGGATAAGGGTGCTCATGAGTCCCAAAAAGGTAAAACTGTGCGGGTACACCCAAAGCAGATAATTCCTCGCGAGCATATAGGGTCGCATCAATGACGACCAAATGTTGACATATTCGATTGATGCTAGAAGGAGGGTCATAAGCCCTTGACTCCCCTATAGGAGATCACTGATAAGGACATTTAGCCCCACGTTGGTTGAGGAGTAAAAGAATCAAGAGCTTATAAGCTCGTCAGGTCACCCTTACCCTCAGAGGTGCTTTTTGGAGCTCACGAGTCCCGAAAGGATAAAACCATACGGACATGCCTAAAGCGGATAATTCCTTATAAGCCAACGGGGTCGCACCAATGACAATCTAATGTTGACTTAATAATATCAAAGTTCCAATTTGGCATGGTAGCACACCCTTTTATTATCCGATAACCAACATCATTGACACTGCATTTGTTGTTAGTACATTGCATCACTCACCTAAAGTACCATTTAGCCGAAGGATCTCTTGATTTAGCAAAATGCACAAAAGTATCCTTCTGTAGAACTAGCTTATCTAATTATTTCAAATTCAAAACTTATATGAATGTTGTGACTAGAACCAGATTTTCAAGATATTCATTGGGTGCATTCTTTGAGAATATCGTGATGTCGTGTCAGTATCATATGGATTGTGGTTGTAGAACCAACCCGTATAATTTGTCTTTTGTTGATCCAAGTCAAATCTATTGACTAAACTGAGTATTAATTGATATTAATTTTTATTTAGGTGAGTGTTGGCTACAATTCGCAAGGTCAACACCAAATTTAGAGGGATAGCAATATGGGTGCTATCACAAATCATATCATTTAGCGCATAATTGGTCAATATTCACATTAATTGATACAAAAATTCACAATCAGCCCCTACACTGATGATCGAAAAAGCCAATATGCATCTTCTACAACATGCATCTAAGGCTATGTTGCACTGACAATGATAAGAAAATAGCAGAACCCAAGGTGGATCCATTGGATTTACATCTCTATCATAATTACACAATATGATTTACAACTAATGATAGTGGTCAGAGTGGCTAAATCTTATGTTTGCTTACGTATAGATAGGTGATGCATGGTCACCTAGGATAAGGACTATGGTGCATCGGTATCCACACAACATGTTTATAAGAGGGAAAGGGAAAGTCTATCATGATTCATATAAAGATATGGGAAGGAACCTACTGAAACTGAGTGAAACAATAGTTCCTTCTATTCTTAACCTTCCTATTATCTTGGTTATCATGACCAGCACATATATGGTAATAGTTGGTCATTCTTTTCAAAGTCAAATGCATCTTATAATACACAATAATATTATGGTGATGAGAGTCATAGCTCAAGCACATTATATCTTATGGAGGAGTATTTGTCACAATCCTACTTGCATGTGAAGGTTCCTACCACATGGATGGTTCATGATGATCAGAGGACTACTACCATATTAATGCATTAATGGCAATACTGTTTAGTAGTATAAAAAATCATGGAAGTAGTTTTATACTAGGGCCCTGCAGATGTGTTGTATTGATCTACAGTATCATCACAACAAGAATTCCGACTAACCCACCATTGAATCATGTAATTAGTTTTGGTGATAGAAACAAGTATATAATTTTCTTATACAGTCATTTGTTATGCAAAATTGCTTAAATGACTGTTCACTTGTTTGTGTGTTATAATATATTCTCTAAACTCTATCATTATTTGTTTTCCATTGCATGTTTCAGTACAACATACATTGTTTTATAGTCTTGGACTAATTAAATTACATGAATTTGAACATTCTTAGGAGGAAAACCATGATTTTTTTTTTTTTTTTTTTTTTTTTTTTTGCATTTCAGATGATCAAACTAGGTCTGTGCCAGTGTACCGCATGTTCGTCCAACCTGCACATGACAATCCAACCATGGACCAACACAAGTCCAGTACCCAATATGTCAAATCTTGCCCACAATTATAGTGAGCACTCTAAGCAGCTTAGTTAACCTAAAGGTATAACTCTTTTAAAGGCTAAGCTTTTGTTCGGTCTTGTGCAGGATCATGAAAGGCTCCTTTCTATTCATTTCAACTTCTAGTCCATGAATGAAAGAAAGATTTAGAAAGGCATACGTCGTGACATAGGATTGAGAGAAAAAAGACATACCTTGTGGAGCTGAAAGGACATATCTTCTACCTCAATTATGACATCACTTGTCAGTTCACTCTTACATATCCTGTTGGATAGGGAAAAATACAAGCTCTGATAACCGAAATAAAAAGTATTAACCATCTACTCTAGAAGCAAAGATTTGTGATTAAAATTATTAACAAGAGCATACTACAGCTACTGGTACTAGACATTTATTTGCTGGCAATGTGGTCTAGGATTTGAAGTCCGGATTCACCAGTAATTATTATGGAGATTTGAAACTTAGTAAAGCATTGTGGGTTTCATACATCAGAAACATTTAAGTGTTAATTTACTCATGAAAATAGACAATTCTAGGACCCAGAATGGAGAGAGTTTTACCCATAGGCTTGTCTGAACTGTATCTTGCTAAGAAACCAATATCGAGGTGTAATTATTGATAAATCAAGATTATCTGGATGTTTTATGGAAACTATACAGTAGAAAGATTTTCTAAATGTTAATCAATATCTTTCATGCACAGGTTTAAAAGTTATTAACTGGTTCATTTGACAAGTAATGGCCATCATGAGAGAGTTAGTCTAGGCAAGAAAAAACAAAAGAGAAATAATAGCAGGATCCCTAATTTCTAGTTTTATCCCTTTTTTATTATTTTTGTAGTGATTCACAGCGGCTTAGGTCGATACACCATTCAATATTTCTATAGTATACTGGTTCAATAGCTTGTCAAAATCAGTATTTGACCCGAAAGTATTCAAAATTTGGTAGCAAGGATCAGAACAGGATGCACTGCCACAGAAGAAAGAAAACAGAAATAGGGACCATCACACATAACGACAATACAAGATTTATGAGGTTCCTTTATTAGGTTCACAACCAGGTACAAGGATGATAAGGAGCTAAAATGTACATAACCTTTCTAATATATCTCTCTCAAGAATAGCACCTCTCATAAACCACAAACATAAAAGATGGAGAAGACAGCCTATGACCAGAAACTGAGAGGGCCAAGGGAAGTTCGGTGGTCGTATTCGAATTAAATTGGCATTTCAATGGTCATTATTCACCGAGAAAAATTATCTAGCTAATGCTTCAAGATTTCCAGGACACGAGTAACAGCACTAGATTTATTCAGGTCCTTTTACCTCTTCCAGCTTAGCTATCTTTCCACATAATGCTTCCAAAGCCGAGGCCCAAAATATAATCATGGACATGGAGGCTTTCTCATTCATTCACGTAATTGACCGCTTGTCGCTTGCAGAAATGCTCAGAAACCAAGCCACCAATCAAATATTTAAATCTCAGGAAGATGCAAAATTTTTCATTCCTACAAATCAAGGGCCCAAATTTGCATCTAATCCTCCTCAAGATATCACAAAAGAAAAGAAAAAGAAGAAGAAAGTAAGCAGAAATATCAGCGAAGGAAAAATAATCATGAGCGCATTCATCTGCTAACAGGTACCCGGGGAACATAACCAAAAAGTTTCAGATACCTAAATGAGTCAATATCCCAAATCCCATAGAAATAAGTTTATTAGCCTAAAAAACCCCATTTTCGATCGGATAACTCGTTCGAGTAATCATAAAAAGTGGCAGGAGAGGATCAGAACCTATGATGAACATGAATGACAATGTAATCAACTAATGTAACAAGTATGAGGAGAGAGAGATAGAGAGAGAGAGAGAGAGAGCGGGGGGCCGGGGGGATTGCTGCTGTGTACCATGTTTGGCCTTCGAGATAGAATACGTCTGCTTTAGACCCCAGAAAGATCGAAGTCATTTCCTTCACCCTTTGTGCCACAGCTCTACTGCCTCTTCAACAGCATCATGATGCTCTCTCTATCTACGACCTGACAGAGAAGGACACGATGCGATGGGGGAGAGGCTGCTTCCTGCCTGCTGTTACCCACGTAAAAGAACACGCACCGGATCAATTAGAAGTGGGAAAGGAAACGACGTTCTTGGGCCTTCTTTTCCCCTACAATTCTAAGCGTGTCCGGGTCAAGGGGAGGAAGAGGACAACCCATCCAAGATTTATCACCATCTTATAAAGAATCTGCAGAAGAATTACCTGTTACCCATTAGATTTCATCTCGAGATTAAGGGCTAATTATATATTACCTTGATAGTTAATTATTTTTAATATTTTAATTTTTATATTTTAAAAATATATATATTAAATTTTTATACTTACGAAAGTAAAACATTTAATTCGTTTCTTCGTTTTCGTCACGTAAAAATGTTGTAAAAAAAGAAAAGATTAAACAATTGAATAGTATTAACTCACTTCATTTCTCAATAAAATATTTCACTTCTGATTTTTTTTCGGATGAGAATAGCACGGTAAAATTACATTATTAATCCTAATTTAGTATCATTTTTTGCACGTGACAATATATACGATATTTTCATTAACAGATTAAATATTTTTATTTTTATAAATATAAAAATCCTAATATAATATTTTAAAAATATAAAAATTAATATATTAAAAATAACTAACTACATAGAATAATATATAATTAGTCCCGAGATTGATAATTTCTTCTCCTAATTTGACACACGTATGCCCGAAAGCTTAAATTAGATCCACATGAATTCTGCATCCAAATTTAATAAATTTACAAATATATATAATATTGATTTCAACATGACCATACCATATTAGTTCGTATGTGATAGAAGTTAGAGAGTCATGTTCTTTCAGTGCCGGGAAAAATATTTCCTCGGAGTCAAGTTTGGATCCATAATAATGAAAGCAAATTAATTTAAAGAAAAGCACGAGAAGAAAATTAGATATCAGCAACTATGTTGTTTATCTACATAGTTGATCCCCACAGCTTAAGAACCAGAGATAACAAGGCCTCAGTTCTGCTACTTTAGAGTTTTTCCCTATAATCAATGTAATTATACTTATTACACATATACTTAGCTACCATAGCCCGTAATTATCAACAAATTAATTGAGTATAAGGATTTTAATGAGTACAAAGATAAATTTTAGGAGAGCTTTGGCAATACATATATATATAAATATATAAATAAATATATATATATATATTTATATTTATATTTATATTTATATTTATTTCTATTTATCTCCAAGTGGAAGATCTCGCTCGGTACCAACCAACCCAGTGGCCCCCAGGACCAAGCAAACCCAGAGACGAAGACGCAGATGAAGAGCACCACGAAGATTGCGTAGGGCTTGGATACGTCTCCTTGTCCGCTCGTCCCGAACTTGATTCCGATCAGTGTCCCCACGACGACCTAAATCACGGTGGCGATGCTGCGTATAAGTAAAGATGTACTAAACAGACGTGGATAGGGTTAGTGCTGCATTACCTGAGCGATGATCATCTGCACGCCTCCCTCAAGAAAGAGAACGCGACGGCCGATCCGGTCGACGGTGAGGATCGAAACAACTGTGGCAAAGGCGTTCACCATGCCGGTTATGATGGCGGCCATGAGGGAGGCGTCGTCACCGAAGCCGATGGTCTTGAAGAGCACGGGCGCGTAGAACATGACCATGTTGATCCCGGTTAGCTGCTGGAACTTGGGTATGAGGAAGGACATGACGAGCTGAGGCCTGTACTTCCTGTTCGACAAGGTGGGCCATGGATGCTTGACGACCTTCGACGCGTCGCTGGCAGCCACCAGATCGTCGTACTCCTCCTCGACGTCGCTGGAGTCTCCTGCTTCTGCTTCGTATAAACGGCAGGGAAGAACTTCTCCACGAAAGAATCCATGGCCGTCACCCCACCTGTTCCGTAAAGAAACAGAAACGCAGAACAGTGAAGAACATAATCTTGATCATGATCGATGAAAGGTCAAATATCATATGAAGCAAAGATTACCAGAGATTCCGATATCGTATCCGAAGATAAGACCACCGGAGGAGGCCACAAGGCACGTAAAGAAGACGAACAGGGTCATCTTTCCCGCGAAGTCCTTGACTACACCTGCTACTGCAACTGCACCTTCAACTCCCTACAATCACGAGATGTTTTGAGGACGCAGAAGATGTAGGCATATATATATATATATATATATATATATATATATATATATATATATATATATATATATATATATATATATATATATGTATATATA